GGGGTGGGGGGTGCAGAATCTTGTGGGCTCCGGGGAGGACCTGGGGCTTCCCCTGGCTACCCCCATCTTGGAGGGCTGTGGGCAGCTCAGGCAGGAACCTGACTCAGGTGCTCACAGCCGTCCTCTGGTGGAAACATCATTAGAGGCTAGGTGAAGAGTGCCAAGATCTCTGCAGGAAGAGTTTCACGTTGAGGGCTCTGAAAGAGACAAAACCCGACATGGTAAGCTCATGGATTTCTTTACCTTGAAAAACACTTGTGCTCTTTCAGTGAGACGTACAGGGGCTGCTGCATGGGCCTGTCATCCTCTTGAGAGATGGTGCAGGAACACTCACGGTCACCCTGAGGTGCGTCTGAGGAAGGGATACCCTGAGGCCAGCTCCCGTTTATATACCAAGGGGGCCCGGCTGGGGTCAGGGGTTCACACCCTGCACCCCACCCATAGGAAAGAGGTAAGAACTAACCAGTAGGCAAGATCATGCTGCACAGAAGGGCCTCAGACTCAGACCAGGGTGGGGGCATGGCTGAAAGCAAGGCTCAGAGTGGGCTGACGAGGCTGTCCTGGCCCAGGAGAGGCTTGATAGAACCCCCTTCAAGAATCATGCTCACAAACAAGAAGCAGGAACTGTCGGGGGAGGCTGACACCAGGAGCCAGAGGTGGTATGCAGAAGAGCTGACACCCGAGGAAGCAGAGCTGTTCCCATGAAGGAGCTGGGAACTTGTGTCTAAGAGACTAACATGGGGAGTTGGTGAAAGTGAGCCACTTGGTAAAGGACTTGGAGGTCACTGCTTCTCAAAGAAAATGCTGAGAAACTGGGAATCAACCACTCTTCCTGGGTCTCTCAGTGAGCTGAGGTCACACAGCAAACTGCTACCCTGAAAACAGGAGATGGGTGGATACACTCAGCTTACCTGGAGCAGAAACCACGGCCTGGGTCAGCATCTGGTGGGAACATGAGGGATAGCTGGCTTGTTGCTGGAGATGGAGCATGGACTAGCTTGAGAGGTGAGAATGCCTGGGGACCCAGCCTTGGGGTGGGGGTAGGGGTCACACATCATGATTTCACCTCCAGGAACCCCACCAGGTTCTCATAGTGAAGATTTGAAGAGAAAAAACAAAAACAAAACAAAAAAATCTCCAGTGTTTCCTGCAGGAAGCAGAGGAAGAAAGCATCCTGTTCTCCTTAACAAAGGCCTGCCCTCCTGGGAAACTGTTTTACCAGAGCCTGACCAAAATGGCTTACACTATGGTTTAACTGACCTGGAGGAAGGGAAATACACAACTCCAGCCCTCTCTAGACTTCTTATCACCTAAGGATACAAAAACAAAACCAAAAGCCGAGGAGCACTTGTGAAGGTTGCAGTCCGAGGGCACAAGCTCACTGAAAGATGGACACCACAGGACGCTTCCTACCACAGCACCGACTGGGCTCCTGTGTAGTAACAGGGGATTACAGATGGAAGGACTGCAAGGCTCAGATTCTGTTGTAAAAGGAGTCACCAGCGAAACCATGATGACAGGGGAGACAAAGTCAAGGACACCTACAGCTACAGCAAACAGCAAATTCAGACTAGCTCCTAGCCAGAGGAACATAAAACCTCGCCCTCAAGGGCTGTTCACCTCAGTTCCTTACACCCAGGATGCCATGCCCAGCTTTCAACAGAAAATTACAAGACAGGCTAAAGGGCAAAAAAAAAAAAAACACCAAAAACCCACAGTCTGAAAAGATGGAGCAAGGGTGAGAACCAGACTCCAATGTGGCAGAGATTTTGAAGTTTTCAGACAGTGAACTTAAGACAACTCTGATGACTGTGAAGAGCATGCCGTGGGCCCTAGTGGGGAACGTGCAAGGACAGATGAGTCATGTAAGCAGAGATGGAAACTCTAAGAGAGAATCAAAAGGAAATGCTAGAAATCAAGAACTAGAATGGAAACAAAGAATGCCTTTGAGTGTCTTGACAGTAGCCAGGACACAGCTGTGGAAAAAATCAGGGAGCTTGAAGATATGTCAATAGGAACTTCCTAAACTGGAAAGCGAAGAGAAAAAAAGACTGAAAGAGAAAAAGAAAAAGGAAAGAAGGAACAGGATATCCAAGGACTGGGGCACAATTAAAAAAGGTGTAACGTACGCATAATGGGAGTTGGTTAGAGATCTGAAAGGTGAATCCCGGAGGCTCCAACTGATGCACATTTTTAAAAGTCAGAAACAAAAACAATGTTAACGTGAAACTTCAGGACAACAAGATCAAGGAAAATATTCTAAAACTTCGGCTGATTAGGTTATGTGGAAAAACAAACATGCAAAAATATCTGGGAAATTTCTTTAAGAAGAATATTGATGAAGGCCAACTAGCCCTACCAGATATTAAAGAAATTACAAAATGGCAGTAATTAAGTGTTCAGTGATGGGGCAGAAACAGGCACACAGAAGAAAGCCAGGGACAGACACAAATATACGCAGGAATTCAGCGATGTTACCAATGGGGCCCTACCTCACAGCAAAACAAATCCCAGATAGAACAAACTCAAAGATGAGACAGAAAAAAAAAAAAAGAGAGAGGGAGGGAAGAAAACATGAGAGGACTTGAAAAAACAAATCCTAGACAAGAAGTAAACTAAAAACCATCAAAAGAAAAGATTACAGCATGATGGGAAGTGGCATAAGCAAAACCTATGGGCAGACTGGGGGGGTGCAGACAAAACACACCACAAAGGCCTACATCTCATATCCCACAAGAAGCTCCTAAAAATACAGAGACACACAAGCCTGCAGACACAAGCACCAAGAAACCTGGTAGAAAACAGGCAGGCCCACTGCCAAAGCTGTTATCAGAGACGCAGTCACCCACCTGCATGCATGCAGTTGTGTAGTTACAGAAGTGAATGAGGGAGGACGGTCTAAAGGCCCACCAGCAGGACTAGTTACAGAAACTTTGGTGCATTTACACAACACACTAATTTGGAACAAACTCTTAAGATGCATTAAAAAAGGATGATATGAAGATGAATATATGTATGTTCCTATATGACTGAAGTACTGTGCTGTACACCAGAAATTGACACAACATTGTAAACTGACTGTATTTCAATCAAAATATATTAAAAGATTAAAAAAATTTAAAAAAAAAGATGCACGTTTGCTACCACTTATAAGGGAACTATGTCTTGTTCACACACAGATGGCTCCCAAGAGTTACAAAAGAAATGGATAAGGAAAAGAAACAGGAAAGGGGACCACTGCTCACTGTGTGCACGTGCCCTTGGAAACTTTGTGTTGTGCCTGCATCACCAAAATATAACCAAAAAAATTTGAAAATATTTAAGCCAAAAACATTTAAAAGGAACAGAGATGTCATCTTGATAAAAGAAACAAATCACTGAAATATATGAAGCTGTTTCCAACTAAAAGACCCCAAAAAAAAAAAAAGCCTCGAAGGCATCAGATGAAAGCCACATGATCCCCAAAGGGGCAACACTGAGCCTTGACGGCTGACTTCTCCACAGAAGCCACAGACGCCAAGAGACGATGGAGCAGAAGGTCAAAAGTGGGGGAAAGACACAACTGCCAATCTGGGATTCTATATCCAGCAAACATATCCTTACAGAATCAAGATGAAATGAAGATGCTGATAGACGAACAAGAGCTGAGAGAATCTATCACAGCACTAAATGAAACGCTAGAGAGGATTCTTCAGGCTTAAGGAAGATGATTCCAGGTGGAAACACAGAAATGAGAGCACCCCTGGCAGTGATCATGTGGGTAAATACAAGGAAATACTGACCGCTTGTGAGCAACAAAATGAACACATACCTGGTCTTGAGTCTCAGGAAGGTGCCTACTAGCTGTCTCGTTGTGGGTGGGTCAGCTCCTGGAGGCTGCCTCTTCACCTGTCGGCGGGGATTCTGACGGCAGCACCTACTTCATCGAGTGGCTGTAGAATCTGTGAGGTAACTACTAGCCCAGCGCCTGGCTTGCAGTGAGCCCTACCGTATTTTTACCTATCAGTCGTCCTTCACTGTGTGGTGGGGATCTGGGAACTGTGGGGATCACCCTGGACCCTCTTTCACTCACTAATTAAGGAGCTCAGATGAAAAACTGTCCCAAAAGGCCTGCAGAATCTTACTCTGGTAAGAAAGATGGGGAAGGGAGCCCATGGCCCTGATGCTAGAAATGGAAATTCTGGCTACTGACTAGAAGAAAGAAATGCTCTGAGTACCCTGGGGTGGCCAGCCATCTCTCCAAAGGAGCTGCCAGTTGACAAAAGTGATCTTAGTCAGCTGCAGCTGTTGTGGGCAGAGTGGCCACAGGGTACAGGCCTGCGATGTTGACCACTCAGGAATGAAACTTCTGCTCCTCTCTTGGGCCTGGAGCCCAGAGAGTGGACCTGAGAAAGCTGTCTCCTTGGGGTCCACTCAGCTCTGCCACAACAAATCCAGAGCAAAACCTAATCGTGGACAGACTGGCAGACAATCACCCTGGCTCCTGGCAAAGGATCTCTTTGCTCACATTTTCTAGCTATCTGGCTGTCTACCCACCTATCCATCCTATCCACCTACCCACCTATCCAGCCTTCCATCCACACACCCATCCTCCCATCCCTTTATCTCCCCATCCATCCCAACCCCTCATCCACCCATCCACCCATATTGTGAAGTCAGGCTTCCTTTTCAACACAAACTTTGCCACCTGCTTGCAAGGAAAGAACACACGATCAGAAGCAGGACCAGATACTGAATTCTCTGCCATCTTGCTCCCCTTAGATTTCTGGTGGTGCCTTCTCTATTCCTGCAGGGTGCCAACCTTGCTCACATTCCCCGTCCCCACTCCTAATCCCCAACTGGCCTGGTCCCAACCCTCCTTTGTCTTCCTGGTGGTTGGTCTGGAAGCACTGGGACAGGGAGAGAAGACCAGGGGCCCCATGGTACCTTGTGCCTCCACCCATTAACTCCACAACAGGAGGAAGGGGGGCCAAGCGGATACACAAAGCCTGACACATAAGTCTGCTTCCCCATCTGACTTTATTTCACTTTTTTCTATAAAACTCCTCCATAATTTCACAATTTAACAAAAAGTTTAAAATCCAGGACAGAAACAATCCTGTGACATATTACAAACACGATTCTCCTTTATTCCTTTTACCCAGGAGTTGGTCTCGGGCCGGTGAGTGTCCTAGTTCCTAGTGAGACACATTCTTTGTAAAAACCCTTATGGGTAAGAAAGGTATTCGATACCTTTCGCTTTCAGGCGTCGGTTTACATCTTGTTCAGGAGATAGCGAAACACAGGGATTTGCACTGGGGGCAGGGGCTTAACACTAAACACGCGGCCATCACAGAGTGCTGGCCCCTTCCTATGGAAGCGTCCCCAGAGCCCTGGTGGGCCCAGCTGCCGGGCAGCTGGGGGTGGGGTGGGGGAGCAGCTGGGAATGCTGCGGTCGGGGCCCTGGCTGCCTGGCACATCCATCAGGTGGTCACAGGGCCAGTGCTGGGCCCAGAGGAGCTCTGGAGGACAGCGCTGGGGCCTTCTGGCCAGAGGAGGTAACAGAAGTGGGTCGGTGCTTCCGAAGGCCCTGGAAACAGCAGGAAGGGCCTGCTGCTGCTGCTGCGAAGGGCAGGCCCGAGAGCCGGGCCTTCCTCTAGCTGCCCCCAGGGGAGAGCCTGGCTCCTGAGCAGAGTGCTGCTTGAGCCACCAAGACGGGAAGGCCTACAGCCCTTCCCAGGAGGTCCTTGGGAAGGACAAAGACCAGTGCCCCTGGGCTGAGGCTCCCGCCTGGGACCCCCGGCGGCCTCTGTGCACAGGGGGCCAGGCAGCTGTGCCCTCAGGCCAGTCCTTTCTGTCCAATGTCTTAGTTTCCAGAGAAGAAAAGTGCCCCACTTTGGAGTATTGTTGGCCTGCCTGGAGAAGGGGACGGTGGCAGCACGGAGCCGGCCACACAGGCCTGCCCTCTTCCTAATACCTCAAGGCAGCAGGGCTGGGAGAGAATCAGAGCAGATCCGGCGAGGAGTCACGGCGGTTTCCTCTGAAGGCTCTCGGCCTTCCCCGAGTCCTGGGACCTCACCAGGAAGGCTGGCGTTCGGGGAAGTCTTGGAGGCGGGGCTTCCGAGGGAGTGTTCAAGGTCTGCCTGACAGACAGAATCGGAGCAGGAACAACAGTCAGGGACCACAGGGCAGGGGAGCTGGGTGCTCCTCATGTGGGAACTCACGAACTGAGGGGAGGGGCTGTCTGGCAGTGGGCGGGAGGGAAGGTGAACCCAGTTCCTGGCCGTCCTCCTCTCCTGGAGCCAGTGGGGACCAAAGGAGCCTTGAGTCGAGGTCTGCAGGAACAGAGGCTGAGCAAACAGGTCCCCAGCCCTCAGGAGCCCCACGCAAGGCGGGCTGACTCCGCGGAGGGGTTCTGGCTGGAAGGGCGGAGGAGCTGGCTTGGCCCTTGGAGAGTCTCAGGCGTGCGAGGAGTTGGGTCTGGCCCAGACCGGCGTGAACCACAGGGGTGGGAGGGCCTGCCATCGGCCAGGGCCCAGGCACAAGGGGCTGGCTCTGAGTCCTGACGCTCCTCAAAAAAACTCCACAAACTATCCCGTCTTATTTGGCAAAAGCTCATTTTTTTTCAAAGTTCGAAGACTCAGTCAACAGGAGGAAGAGGATCCTATGGAAGGAGGAGGAGGAGGAGACCCGGACGCCAACACAGTCACGGCCTGCAGCTGGCTGGAGCCTGGAGGCCTGCTCCTGCACACAGCGCCGGTCTGACCAGGCGGCCGACAGCACAGGCTGGGGCGCCTGGGACCCTGCCGCCCCGTCGTCGTGCTCACTGGCCCGGGAGGAGGAGCGTCCTTGGAGCCACCTAGGGAGGATTCCTCCCTGCACCTGGAGAGGGCCCGCTGGCGCTCCGGCCCAGCCTTCAGCCCAATGACAAGACCAGTGGAGACATCTTAACCTAAAGTCCCGCCTTACACCCCCCCACCCCCCACGTGCACTGCTGCCATGGAAACGCACACCCGGAACCCGCTCTGGTACCTACAGTGCACACACATATATATAATAGAGAGAGAGCTACACAGCATGGAGTCCCAGCACAGTGAGCCGACAGGGGACTGTGTCCGGCTTGCACAGAGTACGAGCCGGGCCGGTCCTGGGGCACGGTGGGTGTGTTCTGAACCGTTTGGGGAGACTGGAGGCAGTGCCCCAGCTGCTCAGCGGGGCCTGGGCAGTGAGGCTGTGCCCCACGCCCCATGGCAGAGCAAGGCCCCCCACTGAAGGGCGTGTTCCTTCCCCTTTGGGAGTGAGACCTGATGCTGCCTTCAACACAAGCCACTTCCAAGGGGGGGCCCAGGTGATGGCCCCTGAGTATCAGGGGGCAGCAGCACCGGCCCAGCCCCCCTCGGCCCCCGGGCTCCCGACGAGGAAAGTGCAGCTGGCCGTGTGGGCCGAGGACAGGGTGGTCACTAAGGCAGTGCTGCGGGTGGGCGAGTCGAGAGAGGAGGGAAGGCGGGGGCCAGACATAGCCTCCCAGGACCCCGGGGACGGGGGCCCGGCACCCGGCCCAGGGTCATGTGGCCACGGCCTCCAGGTAGCTCTGCAGCTTGCGCACTGTGGTCTCGTCCAGAGAGAAGAGGTCAAAGTCGAAAGTGGTGTTGGTGACGTTGAAGTGGCCGGTCTCCTCAATCAGGTTCACGATCTGGAAGGTGGTGGCAGGGTGACTTCAGGGGACAGGGTAATGCGCTGGGGCGGCCCCGCCCTGACCAGGCCCTCAAAAAGAAGGGAGGGTGGCTCCTTGGGGCTGCCAAAGGGGGTCTGGCAGCCCCTGGCCTCAGGGGCACCCCGCCTGGGACTTCTCTGGGATGCTGTGCCCTCAGCGGGGCCACAGGCGGGCGGGCTCCAGCCAGTACCTGCTGCAGCACGTTGCGTTCCCGCAGCGCCATCAGCCTCCGGTGCAGCTCCACCAGCTCGTCCGTGTAGGCCTGGGTGGCAGATGGGTGCTCAGAGGGCAGCCTCAGCCCCTCAGTGGGCCCCGCCCTCCAGAACACCCTCCCCTCGCCCCGCACCCTGTGCCCATGACGGCCTGAGCCCTCACCTTGTCGTAGGCGCCCCTCTTGAGGATCTTCTCAGGCTTGCTGCAGGGCTCCGGGCTCCGGCGGCCTGACGCCTGCTAGTGAACCGGGTCTTCATGAGCGCCCCTCCGCACCCCTCCCTCTAGCCCCCGGCTGACGGTGCAGAACTGACCTCCCCCTGCGCCCACCCACCTCAGCCTCGGATCCTTGGAGAACCCCAGGCCCCGCCCTCAGCCCTGCCTCCAGGGTGTTACCTTGCTGTTGGGCGGGGGCGGCTTCTTGGGTGGAGGGGGCTCCCGGCCGGGCAGGCAGGAATCTGCGCTGTTATCGCTCTCGCTGTCACTGAAGCTCAGCCTGAACGCAGACACGAGGACTTGGTCAGACCTCCTCTGCCCTCTGCTCTGGGGACATCCAGCAGCCCCACCCAGCAAACACCACTCCAGGGCTTTGGGACAGGGGCTCTCCAAAATAACACTCAGGGCCTGCCCCCTCCCTGGGCCAAGCTGCGCCCAGCACTCCCCCTGCAGCTTTGGAGACCAACTGCACTCAGCTCTGCCAACCTCAAAAAAAAAGGAAAGAGCACGCCCGAGGCGCCTTCAAAGGGCAAAGAGCCCAAAGAGCAGCACTCGCGCCCTGACAGGCCCGGGGCCCGCGGGGCTCCCTGCAGCCCTGGTGTGCTCTCCTGGGCCACTGCAAGCCAGATCGGCTTGGGGTCCTGAGCTTACTGCTGCGCGGGTGCAGCGGCCTGCAGGACAGTCACTCAAGCACCGGAGCCCAACGCCACGGGGCGCAGCAGGGCCCGAGCCCGGGCCCGGAACCGGTCTGTCTGGGGTTGGCTCACTCCACGCCTCCTAGTGGCGCAGGGCCCAGGCTGGGTCTGCGTCTCCGCCTGGACTTCCTCTCTGAGAGGAGTGGACAGGGAGGACCACTCACAGTCATCACTCTCCGAGGCGCGGGCCCCTCTCTCGGGGTGAACCCGTTCCAGGGCGCCTTCCCTTCACAAAGGAAAGGGAGCTCCCTGGGGCTCCCACCGGCTTCTCGGGATCAGCTGCACAACGCACTGCGTGCTTCGCGGCATCCACCATCGCCACCTGCTTTCAGCTGGCTGAAGGCAGTGCAGGCCACCACCCGTCCCTTTGGATGGTGCTTGTCCGCCTCTCAGGACCTCAGGACCCATATCGCACTGCTGTTCACCCGGAACCCTCTCCACTTGGGCCTTCAAAGTTCTCTACTGAATACGCGCCACCAACACCAAGAGCTACACCACTTATGGCGGCTGCGAGGCTCACCGTCTTGGGAAGCATCCGTGGGGTTCTGGCAGCGCCCAGGGTGCCACCCCCGCAGGAAGGAAGGCACAGCCGCTGGATGCTCAGATTCTCCAGCTAGCTGGAATCTAAAAGCCGCTCCTCCCCGGTCATGTTGCCCTCCACCCAGATAAGACATGCTGGTCCATTCCTTTCAGCTTTTCCAGAACATCTCGCAGCTCAGTGAGGGGGGCACAGAGGGAGCACTTTCCCAGCTGCCCCCCAACCCAACTCCTGGGGAGCCACAAGCAGCGCCCTCAGGCAGGGTCTCTGCCTGGGACCCCTCATTCCTCACTCCGGTAAGGGGAGCCCAACAGCTGTCACCTCACCACAATGCGGCAAATCCCGCCTGCTGCTCCCTCCTTTTGCCTGAAACAGGCTTCATCATGAAAGCAGTGCTGGGAAGCCTCAGTCCTGAGGCACTCCCTGTCCTATGTACCCCCGAGGTTGACCGTTTCCTTAGTAAACTTCCCTCACAATGTGATGGGCTGCGGGGCCTCTGCTCTCTCCACGAACAGCCCTCCCACGGGCTGCAGAGCATCGGCGCAAAGGCAGGCAGTCGGTCTCCTTGTTGCCCAGGCGACACTAGTGCGTCAGCCAGGCCCAGGAGTGGCCAGACTGCCCTGCATCTGCCAGGCGGCAGCTGGGGGTGATGGTGGACCCAGGCCCCTGCATCCGAGCAGCTGTGGCGCCAGCGTGAGGGCCCATGTGGCCCCTTCCCTGACGATGGATGCGCCCCCCCCCAAGCGGCCCCTCTCAGGCCCACGTCCACCCCTAGAACAGGGGCTAAGGGTCCTGGGATGTTCAGCCCCTCACCACCATGTGGAGAATAGGATGCAGGCTGGCCAGCCCCTCAGCTCCCTGTGCCAAGCATCCAGCAGGACCACGCTCAAGGTCTCCAGCCTCACGGAGTCACTGCCCCATGCCTCCCCACAGTGAGTGCCTTCCCTGCACGCTGGGAGCAGACCCAGTGACCAGCCCATCTTAAAAGAGACTCTGGGACGCAGGGGGTTCCGCCCCATGGGGAGGAGGGGCTGGACCCAGATTGGCTGGCTGACCTAAGCCTGCCCTTCCGCAGGCCTGGGGCCAAGGCCAGCATTTGCTCTGGGCTGGAGGCTGAGAAAGCACAGCCATCCCATCCCTGAAGTGGGTTCACTCTGAAGGTCTGGGGGTATCCAATGGAGGTGCCTCAGCTCACCTCACTCCGGGGGAAGGCCACATGTCGCCTGCCCTAGGCCAGCGGGTGGCCACTACTGCTCCCCACAGGGGATGTCTACGTGTCTAAGGACAGTTCTCAGTCTGTCCTTGCCCCACGCCACACACGTGGGGAAGAGGGAAAGGACTCCTGGCCCGAGAGCAGAGGGACCAACCCCTCGACATCCCAAACAGGAGAGGACCAGGCTCCCAGACCCACCTCAATACCCAGGCAGAGCACCACCTGGTGGGCTCCAATGCTCCCCATCACCGCAGGGACTCCCTGTCCTGGCCTCTTGGCAACCCCACAATCAATCACAACAGGGCCGGGCAGAGCCGCCCCAGTGCCCCCACAACCGCTCGCGCCCCACCAGCCCAGGCACCTGGAGTCCCTCCCGGCATTCGTCTTGCCAGCGGCCTCCTCGCCTGACGAAGAGTCGTCCTCATCAGATTCCTCAGACTGCAGGTCCTCCACCATGGAACGCAGGGGTCCTGGGGAGGGCGACGGGGAGGAGGGAAAAGGAGTGGGTCAGGGCTCTGCCTGCGCCCAACAGCCCCTCCACCCCCGAGCCACGTGGTGCTTCTTGTCATCACGACCCCCAAAACTCACCCATGCAAACTCACTACAGAGGTCCCTCTGGCCAGGTGGGGCCTGCCGCCCACCTCCAAGCACTGCCCCCGCACTACCCCCCTTCTTAAAGGACACCTGGCTCCCCTGCTCCTACCTTCCTGGCCCTGCTCGCAGGCCTCCAGCCCCTGGCCTGAGACAGGACCGCAGGGCCCCTCCATTGCAAAGGGAAGGAGCAGCCCTCCTCTGCTCCAAGTGCTGGGGTCAGAGCTCTGCCTGCAGCCAGGACGAACCAGCCCCGGCCAAGAAGGGCAAGGTGGCCCGAACCGTGGGCCAGAGAACCCACCCCCGCCAACCTGTGCCCCTCCTTGGGCCTGCCCAGCCCCTTGGCAGCCCCCTCTGCTGCTCCCGGCCCACCGTCCTCCCCTTTCTCCAGAGGCACTCAGTTCCAGTCCCCTACAGACGGCATCTTGGTTTATATTCTTGTTACCAAGGCAACAGAGGGACACAAAGCCCTCAATTACCTGGGTCACGTGATCCCTCACTGCAGGTTCCCCCTCCCTTCCTCACAGATAAGAACCCTTGGAGAGAGTGTGGGCTTGGAGCACCCCATCCCCCAGCCGCCCTCAGGACTGTGTCTTTCTTTCAGGCCAGACACTCCTGCCCCCAACATGCTCGCCTCCCCCAGCTCTCCGCAACCCTTGAAAAGGGATTCTAGGCCATGGAAGAAACTCTCAGTCCGATCCACTCAAAGAAGTGCTTCCGGTTTGAGGGTGGGCAGGGGTCGGTTAGGCTGGGGGCCCAGGTGCCCTCTCAAACCAGCATCCGACAGGCTGGAAGTGTCCAGGCCCACCCTGCACAGGAAGAAAGCCCTCCCTGCTCTGGGGCAGCCAAGTGGGCATTGTGACCCCTCGCCACAAGCACCCCAGACGGCCTGGAGGTAAAAAGCAGTAATGCAGGCTGCCGGGGACCTGGGCTGGAGCCGCAGCAGAGCACTTCCAGCCCATCCACAGAGAGCAGTGCTGGGCCGGGCTGGGGTGGGGCAGCCGAGAAAAGGGTGTTGTGCTGGCCATATGGGCCTCCATCCAAGAGGAGCAGAGAGGAGGGGTCTGGCCACGTTCAGGGCCCACGTCAGACGGGGGGCCTTCTCCACAGACCCACAAAGCCCAGCTCAAAGCCCCTGTCATACAGATGGGGCAAAGCTGAGGGCCCCGGGGATGGACACCAAAGACCACCGGATGGAGCAGGACTTCGCACACCAGGCTGGCTGTCACGTGACCTGTGCCCAGTTCGCTTTTAAACACAAACCTTTGGACACGGATATCGGAGGCCCAGTCTGGGCAGGCTCAGGCTTTTCTTTCAGGAAATTCCCCACTAACCCCTGACTTCCCCAGTAGCTCGCTAGCCTCCAGAGTGGGAGAGCCTTTCCACAAGAAACTCCTGGTACACTTAAAACAAACCCTGTCCTTGCCTCTCTCCGTACGCACCTTGACTGTGGTTCTGGGATGGCTCAAAGTCAGAATCCGAACTGGAGTCAGAGCTGGAGCTGGAGTTGGATGGGCTGGACTGGGCGGACTTCACCCCACAGCGGGGCAGCAGGGAGAGAAGACAACAGTCACCTCTCAGTCCACAGGAAAAGGAGTGGACAACAGAGGCCCCTGGCAGCAGGGACCACCAGGCAGGACACCCCAGGCACGCACTCCAGAGGTCACTGGAACGCCAGACCCCAGCACCGCAGGCCAAGGCAGTGCCCCTCAGACCCTGATCCCAGTCCACCTCTGCCCCCACCCTCAGGGCACAGCTGGTTTGTGGTCAAATCGCCAACTGATGACCTTTTTTCCCTCCCAAGGGACTTGAATCTTTAGCCCACACCTCTGGTTCAAGGAGCGGGCAGCGTGTCTGCTGCTGCTCTAGGCCTCTGGCCCCGGCCCTCCTGCCATGAGAGTAGTGTGGGCAGTGAGCAGCTGGAGGGTCTACACAGGAAAGGCGGGTACAGACACTTGGCTTCTCATTCTGCCTCAGTCTGTCCTGAGGCTGGGACAGCTGTGACAAAAAGCTGTCTCCTGCCACCGGGTGCCCCTGAGGTGGTATCAGGTGAATGCGCATGTGACAAGCACTACAGGACAGGGTGGACTCCCTGCCCCACCCTACTGTGCCCAGGGCGGGTCCCATCTCCCTCCCTGCCCACAGCCAGCCACCCTGACTCAGCCACCAGGGGGCAGTAAAAGCCCAAACTAGGACCCCAGGCCTTAATACAGGGAGTAAGATGCCTGGGGCGGCAGCTCCCACTTCAGAGGCCTGCATGGGGAAGAGGCCTCTAGCTTCACTGTCCAGAGCTGAGCCAGAACAGGGTGGCCTCTGCTCCCAGGCTTTGGCAGACACCAACAGGCTCTGGCAAAGGCACGTGCAGCAGAGTAAGCCAAGGGCCTGGGGCCGGGAAAGAATGGGCTCCGATGGGCAGAAGGACATGGGTGTCAGTTCAGAGAGCCTGCCGGCCCAGTGTACCCAGGCACTGTCCGAGCCCTGGCCTCGGGGACCGCTGGGGGAGCCAGGCTGCTCGAGCACCTGGGGAAGGCTGGATGGAAAGGCCAGGAGACAGGCAGAGGCACCCAGCAGCGTCTGCTCAGTCCCGGCACACGCCACGTGAGAGAAGACGCCAGCACAGGGGCCCCTGATCCACTGGGGCTCAAGACAGCCACTCCTGAGGGTCTATGGGCCGAGGGCAGCCCCGGCCACCAGAAAGAGAACTAAGAAGGCCCAGGTCTCCCCTCACTCAGTAGGCCCAGCAAAGGGTCAGGCTGCCTGCGGACAGAGCGCTGCTTCTCTCGGGTTTACCGCGGCCTAATCAGACCCGGTCCAGGCCCCGCCACGCACCCCTGCTGGCATCCCCTACTTGCCACCTTCATATGGCAAATGGTGCTCCCTGGGAAGCCTTGCCCAGGAAACTGGCCTAGACTGCCATTAACCACGTCCACGTGGGGGTCCCACACAGACCAGCGTGACCCTCACCCCCAACTATGTGCCTGGCGGGGCCTGGAGCCACACTGCCACTGCTGCAGGCACATCCAAGTTCTTATTCTGGCTCAGGGGTCCTGGGTTCTGACCCTGACTTTCTCACCGACTGGTTAAAGCAGTCCCTGGTTTTGAAGCCTCAGTCTTCCCGACTGTAAACTGCCAGCCTCTGCTAAGTGCAGGTGTGAATCAGCTGCCGGCCCACAGAGGGCTGTGCCAATCATGCCCCCAACCTCTGGGACAGAATTCGGACAGAAGCCCAGGCTCATCCTGCCCAGCGTCTGCATGAGGGCTCTCACTCGCTGCGGAGGCCGCCGGGCATGCAGGTTCAGGCCAGCAGACTCCGGAAGGCCTAGGGCAGGAGTACCAGCGCTGTCCTGGATGGCACAGGTCAGGCTAGGCGGGCTTCGCAGCTACACGTGTCCCCTTTCCTTCCACACAGATCCAAGGTGCACGGTGAGGGCAGGGAATCTGGAAATGGTCCCTGATGCAGCCCAGTGCTCAGGTCACATGAGGCAGCTCTCCTGGGCCCGTGACTGAAAGGGACCAACTGTCAGAAACCCCACGGGCCAAGCAGAAGCAGTGGGAGGAGCTGGGGGGCTCAGTCCAGGGACTCAGACGAGGAGCTGCCTAGCCCCTCCGAGGGCTGAGGGGGAGGAGGAGACCCCAGTTCCACATAGAGGTCAGAGGTTTCCGGTGGTGTGCCCCACTTGGCCTCCAGCGTGGCGTGGCCTCAGGAGGCCAAGAGGGCAGGGGAGGCCCAGGTCTGGAAGGCTGTCTTGCCTCCTTCACCGCAGACGTCTGTGCCTTGCTGAGGTTCCAGGGTTAGGAAATGCGAGGCACCGTCCAGCAGCCCTAGAGCACCCAGGCAACCTGCTGGTGCCTGAGTCTTACAGCTGCAGGGCTCAAGTGGCTAAGGCTTACCGTTCAGAAGTCTCTCTGTGCACAGGATGCACCCCCACATCCAGGAGAAAACCCTAGTCTTCCTCAAGTGATCCCAGAACAGCAGTGACCAAGGCCACAGACACTGGACACGCAGCCAGCCCACTCTGAGCAGCAGCGCCCAATGGCTGGTGCGCCACCACTCAGCTGGGGGGGCCACGGGGAGGCCTCCACCTCTTCCCAATGCAGGTGCATCAGATCTGGGCGCAGAAACGCCTCAACTGGAAGCGCCTGAGGTGGACAGGAGGGAAGGGCACCTGCCCAGAGCTCCGGGTCTGAGCAGAAAGAGAAGGATGCCAGACAGGGCACTATCCAGCACTCAACAGACTTCCAGCAGCCAAGTGGGTGACTGAGATGGCCCTGGACTAACTGCGGGTCTTCCAAATAAGAGAGATGTCCTAGGGTCCTGCCGTCTCCAGGTTCACGGCAGACAGCACTTCCTGGCTGCGAGAAACACTGAGTGCGTGGCGTTGCCAGCCCCGCGTATGTCTCTAAGCCAGTGAGGATGCACTGTTTACCCATGACCAAACTCTCACCTCCCCAGCCACCTCCGAGGGTCCTCTGGAAGCCACACACTCAGAACATCAGTGCTACTGACACAAACCACCTCTGGCTTCATCTCTGGGAACCACTTTCAAAGTCTCTGAGCTCTGAGCAGCAATGCTGGGAGCTTTTGCCTTGGAGAGTGAATGAGTTTGGGAACCATAAAAGGCCACTGAGAGCAGGGGTTTATGATACAGGTGAGGGGAATCAATCATTCACCCATCCATCCATCCATCCATCCATCCATCTGTCCAGGCCCCTGTTCTCCGACCACCAGAAGCCAAACACAGCACTCAAGAGATAACATGGCCATGCACAGCCCAGTGAGGTCTGGCTACCCAGTCAACAGCCTGGCTACTGACTCCTCTGTAGCTCAAGCCAACCCTGATGGCAAACTTCAGAGCCGTGTGGAAATGTTGCTGCAGGAGGGGCCCAGGGCCTCTGGCTCCCTGACATGGAGAGTGGGATGACAATGCACAGGGGCACCCTACTCATGTAGGGAGGGGGTGCCCTGATGGAGCCTGCGGTGGCCGGGGAAGGGGCTGACAGTGAGACACCACTGCCCACTCCGACCCCCATGCGGCCAGTGAGACCCTGGCCCATGCAGGGCACTGCCCAAGGAAGAGAGCTCTGAACCCAGGGCCCTAACTATCATGCTCTACCCCAGGCACCGTCCCCAGAGTTCTCATGAGGCGGCTTCGTCACACCTGACAGAATGGGAAACTGAGGCTGAGCAAGCAGCAGAGGCTTGTCCAAAGCCACGCAGAGCAGGTGGGAGCCCAGGGCCTGAAGAGGGAGGATGAGGGCGGGTGGGGGAGTGGGCAAGTGGGGAAGGCGCCACCTCACCTCGGTCTTGAAGGAGGCCTCGTCCTCTGAGTTGGACTCCTCTACCTCTGGGGGCTTTTTGATCTCCCTGGGCTCGCTCTCGGCCTTGACCTTCTCCCCCTTGGCGCTGCCCTTGTCCTTGGCCGGCTTTTTGTCTGAGAAGGAGGAAGACGAGGTACGGGGTGAGGTGCTGGGGGCGCTCCTGGATCCCTTGGAGCTGCTCTTCTTCTGCTTTTTGGCGCTGGGCTTGGGTGAGTCAGCGGCAGCCGGCCGCTTGCTGGAAGACTTGGGCGGGGGTGGTGGCGGGGGGCCACCCTTGGGGGACATGCTCTCCAGTTTGGTCTCCTTCAGGGCCATCTTGGGCTCCTTGAATGCAGCCTTGGGCGGAGGGGCCTTCTCCTCCTTGGGCGGCCGGCCCTCGCCCAGCTTCCGTGCGGCATCCTTGGCGCTCCTGGCCTGCTCGCGCTCCGGCTCCTTGGAGGGGCCTCTGCTCTCCGAGTCCTTGCGCGGCCGCTCCCGGTGCTCCTTGGCCGTCTTGTGGGCCTTGCAGGCCTTGCCACTCTCCCTGCTGGCGTCCTGAAATGCCGGGGCGGGAGGGGGACACGGTCAAATGGCATCTCGCGGCCACCCTGCTCCGCCTCCCCCGACCCCTACAAAGTATAATCCACCTGATTCAGACTCAGCTAGAGAAAATCTTCCATAAAGCGAAAAAGTAAGGCAGCAGGTGAGAGTTTTAAATGGAGCTGTCCCTTTAAACTACTAGGAAGTGTCAGCAGGTCCCGGGCGACTGCAGGCTAAGATTCCCCTCTGAATTGAACTGACATTCCCTGAGGGATTCAAGAAGAGCACACGGTGAGTCAGATATGAGACAGGCAAGCCACGTCTACCCACTCCCGCTCCAACGCCTCGCAGTTTCCCGCGGGGCCCGGGGAATGGGGGGCTGCCATGGCACTGGGGACTGGGAGTGCTGGCAGGCAGGCCCCCTCTTCTATCCCCACCAAAGCCTGGTGCCTCGCCAGGTGGCCCCCACCCAGCCTGGATGGCCTGGCTCTGGCCAGGCCCCAACACACACCAGGACACTGCAGTTCTTTGATCTCCACAGTCAGCATTTATTGAGCGCCTGCTGGAGTCCCAGGCACTGCGTAGGACAAATGGCTCCTAGACATCTTGAAACCGAAGCTGCCTGGGCAGCTGTTCTAAAACGTGCACGATTCCAGGATCTCTGTCTCGGAAATTCAGAGGGTTGAGGAACCCGGACTCTGGTGCTGCTGGTGAGCCAGGTCGTGGAGCTCCCACTGGGGACAGAGGCAGCAGGCAGCCCTGCTCCAGCTGCCAGGAAGGCCAGTCTGTGGGCTCCAACCCTGTGCACCTATGCTTCCTCTGAACAGAGAAAGAGCACCCACCTCACCAGGCGATGGTGCAGGGCTGGCACACAGCGAGCGCGCAATCAAGGAGGGTGGTGGCCACTCTCCCCCTGCCCCTACCTCACGGGCCTCATCCCCATCAATGACGCACCACTATCCCGCCGCACACCCAGGGCCACTGACAGGTGCCTGCTGCTGTCAGCTGCCAAGGACTCTGCCCCCAAATGTACCGGACGGCGCACGGCTGGGCCCAGAGGCTCCCCAGATTAAAGCTCACCAGGGAACCAACAGAAGCCAGACGCAGAGGTGGCCCACAAGGGGAGTGCTGGCCAGGGGCTCCCCTGAAGCAGCATCATTCTACCAGCTCAGCCCCAGTGTCGGTGGGGCGGGCGAGCCAAGAGAGCACCCAGCATGTGGGCCTCTGCTTCCTGCTCGCAGCTCCCAGAGGGTCCAGCAACAGACCCACCCGGCGAAGAGCCACAGGGAATGACAGCACAGCCAGCGTCCTCCCTCTGATCTGCTCAATCCCAGTCACCCTGCAAGTCCACAGCCCCACCAGCGCCAGGGTGCCGGGACAGCCCCACGTGGCTCTCACATCACCACAGCAGTGGGAAGGCTGCTCATGCCGCGAGCCCCCAGCAACCTGTCCCAGAGGGGCACAGCCCGGGGGCGGGCGTGTGGAATGGGGCCAGTCTCTGGGGGCTCCACTCCCCAGAAAGCTGCTCTCCCAAGGAGGTAGGCCAAAAGCAGAGACCGCCCCCCCCCAGGCAATTCCGGCTTCTTCTCACAGGGAACACGGGCCTCCTACGCCTCAAAAGCTGACCCCAGTCCCAAGAGGTGGAGCGGGAGCACCCCGAGGGGCATGTCCACCCACAGCCCCCAGCGCAGCTCCCACTGGGCCCCCAGCCCCGGTCAACCGAGCAGCCGCCGCTGCCCAGGGCCTGCCCGAAGCAGGAGCCTTGGAGCAGGGCTCTCTCAAGTCACATACTAAGTTTCAAGCACAATGTAGATGTTCAGTCACATTCTCGAAGCTTTCAATGACCCAAAATGGCTAAGAACCAGTGTCGGAAAAAGGTCCACCAGGCCACTGGCTCATGTAAGACAAGAATAAGCAGGGCTCTCTGAGGCTACAGGTGCATGAGTCCAGAGGCTGCAGGACAGCCACCTTCACACTGAGCCTCCAGGGGTCCCTCTTCTCCTAGGAGGTTCCAATTCCTGCCTGCCACACTACCCTCCGAGGGGGCTGTGGGGCAGGGACAGAACCACCAGGGATGGGTCCAACTCAGGCCAGAGCAGCCAGGCACTCCAGCAGCCCCTGGGCCCCTGGTTGGGCGAGGCCCTGCCAGGACCCAGCCTTTACCTCCCCGCCCTCCTGCCTGGAGCATGTGGCCCAGCCAGTCAGACTCCTCAGGTCTAGGAAGCGGAGAACCCATCAGAAGGAAGGAGCCAGTGCCCAAAGGAAGGCCCTCACCGGGAGGAAAGGTCTGATGATTCAGAGGGCAGGACGTAACAGCAGGCAGAGAAGGCTTGCTAGAGAGCTGTCGGCAGAGCAGGACCTGCCTGTGCCACCTGAGAAACCTGCGCAGGGCCCCTACGTCACAGCGCCCAGGGAGCTGTGGAAAGATGCTGGACGGGGAGGGTGGAGACGGAGGACCCTGCCTGCAGGCCTCCTGAGTCTGGCAGACATGCCTACCAGCTTGGGGGCCCCCAGGGGTCTCAAAGACCTCAGCAAGAGATGCCAGAGCAGCCACTGGAGTGTCCTCGCCACCAGGGAGGGCATCTCTTAAGTGGTGTGCAAGTGACGTGTGCAGAAGAGACAGCAATTCCCACTCTCCCTATCTTGCACAGAACGCCAAAAACCGTGGGTGGCTGAGAGAGAAGCTGCCAAGATCGCTAGCAAGAATTTTTCTCCCGCTTAACTTTCACGAGACTCAGGGAAAGACATGCCCAGAAGGCCGGCATGGGGAAGACCCTGGAGCTGCACGCTGTACTTGAAGACTCTGGCCTCACACGTCCAGAGGGCTGAAGTCAGAGGAATCTGAGGATTTCAGAGAGCTAGTGGCCTCATGAAAAGTGCCAGAAAGATTCTGCCTGGGCGACGTGGCGCTCCTCCAAGGTGGCTGATGAGCGTAAGGCTATCGGGCAGCCCAAGACGTCAACCTGTCCCAGTGAGGGTGCCCTAGGCCCTTAACATCCAATAGCAGGTGAAACAAGAAAACTACAAAGATGAGAAGTGGATAAACTGGCGGGGTGGGTGGCAGACGACGGGGCAGCTGCCCTGGAAGCCAGACGGGGCTGGGCCTCCAGGACTCGGAGCAGTGTAGACGGCTGCAGGGAACAGGATGCACGCTCACAAGCCTGCGTCCCCTGCGACACCACCCCAAGGGCTCTGGAGGCCACTCTGGGACAGCTGAGAGAGAGGTCTCGGGGCACAGAGTGCCGTCGGCCTGCCGAGGCCGAGACAAGACAGTGAGGTGCTTTTTCTTGGGGTGAAACAGCTTGCTCACCCATGTCACTCCTCCTGGCCCCTCCCCCAAGTAAGCTCTCTCCGCCGAGAGCGGCTGCCGAAGGAGGAAGCCAAGCCTGGAGCCGAAGAGAGCGCCAGGCTGTGACAAATGGGGCATCCTGGCTGTGGCAGAAATGCTCTGTCCACGGCCCCAACCACGCAAGCCCTCGGACTGTATCTGAGTGGTCCTCGGGGCCTCTGTCTCAGTGGAGGGATAATGGAGCAGGCTCTCTGCCTCAAGAGGAAGGGGATGAAGTGCCTGCAATGACCTGGTGGTCCATGCAGCTCAGCAGGGCAAGCCTCCTGACTAAGCGGCGGCGGTGAACTGCCGGGCGGAGCACAGAGCTGTGCTCCAAGAGGAGGATAACGAGGGGGCCTGCAGGGGGCGCCCTGAGCCCAGGACCCTCCACTGGGCCCCCGAGCTCCCATGGGACTGGGCCTTCCGCCTCACTAACCTTGGAGCCGTGGGATGGTTTGGTCTTCTTGGGGTCAGAGAAGGCAGAGAGTGGAATTGTGGGTAACATGGGGTAGTCAGGGCTGGGCCTGGACACCGTTTCTGCTCCTTCGGGCATTACCATCACCTAGTGATAAAGAAGAGACAGATGTTATCAACGAGCAAGGAGGCAGGCTGGAAATCCGATCATCAAGAGGAAGTCCGCCTGCAGGAGCCTGGCCAGAGGCCAGCCTCACTTCCTTCAGGGGGAGAGGGCAGAGGAGAGCTCGAGCGTCATGTTCTCAAAAGAATCCAAGGTGTTCCCTCCATGAGGGGCTGGGTGCTGAGTGCTGGAGCGAAGCAGGTCGTGGTGCAGAGCCAAGAGCAGCCAGGTCCCAGGATGGCTGGGCCGGCCGAGAAGATGCAGAGCGGGCCAAGAAGCATAAGGAGGAGCCGGGGCCAAGGCTGACCATGCTTCAGACAGACCAGAAGCTCAGGCTGGTAAGGCGAGGGGCCAGCCAGACACCCAACCAGGCAGCTGAGTGGCAGAGTGAGCAACTTGTATGAGCTGTGCACGTGACTTCACTGGGTCACCTGTATCCTGGGGGACCAGCCCATGTCCACTCTCGGGCAGGTGAGGCACACAAACAGGGAGCACGGCGCAGCCGCCAGCTGGAGAGAACTGCGTGGGGTGGGCATGGGGGAGGGACTGGAGAAGGAAGGCCGGGGGTCCTGCCAGGAGGTGATCCCTGGGCCACCTGCAGGGTCCAAGCCAGGCTCCCGTGGCGCCCACTGACGGGGAGAAGGCTGGGTGCAAGCTCTTGAAATGCTGGCGCTGCAACCACTGCTAGTGAGCACTACTAGCGGGCAGCCACTCAGGAGGGGCCTTCCAGCCCAGCGAGACAGAACAGAAGAATAAAGCGCACGGAAAAAAAGAAGAAAAGAAAAACGCATTTAGCTTGGTAGAACAGGCACCATTAATAACCCTGAGAACGCGGAACTCCCCGATGAACCAGAGCTTTCATCTGAGGAGGCTGAGGTCATTCCCGGCCATGGGGATGCCGGGCGGGAAGGAGGGCGGTGGAGCCCCTCGCCCCCAGGGCCCCACGACTCCAAGGCAGTGGAGCCCAAGGCTGTCTCATCAGAGCCGGTGTGACCACAACACTCTTAACCAGGCACCCAACCTGCCAGGTGCCCGAGGACCATGTTGTCGGGGAACCACACACCCCACAGCCAGCAAGGAGGCGACTGAGAGCCCAGCCCGGGAGGCCCTGGTTCGTCCACCTGCAGACCTTCTCCTCCTTTCACAGCAAGTTCTCCTCTCTCCCTTCGAATGAACACCCTAAACTGACACTTTCAGGACAGTGCACGCCTTTGTCTCTCCTCTCCTTGACAGCCTTTGGAGTACGCGGCCTCACCTCCACCTCCACCACCGGGCTTTGCAAGGACCCCACCCACTTGACAGAAATACAGATCCTCAGCCACTGAAGGAGCCTCTATTTCTGTGCAGTTCAATGGCTGACAGCACACAATGCTGAGGGGCCTGGCAACCGCAACCACCTGCCCAGGGCCGGCCTCTCATCGCCGGGTACACTGGGGAAGCAGCTCCAGTCACTGCTGGGCGTGTGTGGGCCTCACGTGAGGAGCAACAGAACTCCGGTGACCTCGGCAGAGGGGCTGCACAGAAAGCAGTTCTCTAGACTTACAGCACGGCCTGCTCCTCTGGCTCCTCCAGCATCGACATCCAGGGGCCATCTGCCACCAGATGGCAAAGGCAGCCCCACTGGGACCGAGAGCCCCCGTCCCATAGCCGACCTGGGTGGCTCCTGAGACCAGAGTGCGCGGCTCTGCCCTCGGCCCGGGGCTAGCCCTGAAGGCCCACAGCCCCAGAGGGTGAGAAAGTTCCCCACCAGTCAACCAGCTCTCTGGGCACCCCCACACTGGGAGGAAAGCACCCAGCAGAGACCACAGCGCAGCAGCCGGACCGGCCCTTCCCAAACTGCAAGCTGCACCTGCCCTCCCGACTTCTCTCCCTCGCCTCCTCCTCCTTCCCCGCCCCTCCAGTTTTTATGTGTTTAGATGATGCACACTGAGCCTTCATCTCCTCAGAGCAAAGAAAACATCTTTACGTGGGGAATGGAGGGGTCAGTCCTTTGGTCCTGGAGCATGAGAGGCCTATGGAAAACTGTCTGGGTGTCTGTCTCCCAAAGAAAAGTGACTATGAAACCTTTGGGGGACATCCAGGAACACCTCTGGAAATACTTTGGAAAAGGTCTGGCAGCAAATATAAAGCAGAGAAGCAGAGCTGGTGGGAAGAAGTGCTGAGCCCCGCAGCCCCACCCCACTTCCTCGGTTCTTCTGGAACTCCTGGGCAAGTATCTATGTAAATCCCAGCACCTCCCTGTTCTGCTCCTGGACTCCATCAGCCATCACATGCTAGATTAGAATCGCACACTAATCTTCTGAACACAGCGAACTTAATCAAATGTTCTGCAATGAATAAATGATTGCTTTCACATTTTTTTAAAAGTTTATAGAAGTCTCAACTGAATTAAATGAACAGGAAATGATTGCTCCCCAGAGCCAAAGAAATCCAACCCACACTCCCTGTATGCACTGGGGAGGTGGACCTGGCCCCAACACACACACACATGCACGCACACTTGCACGCACGCACTCACTCTCACGCCCCTGGCCCAACTCCTCTGTCCCAGGCACCAGCTGGTACTGGGGCAAACGCTCAGTGACTCTGGGGTGTCTTGTTGCTCGGCCTGCACCTCCCTCGGCACAGTCCAGTCTGCGCCCCTGCTCCTCCATGACCAAGCATCCTATCCACACAAAGCACCTCACCACACTCCCCACAGGTCCCACCATGCGCTCCCAGCACTCTGCCCCCACACCAGGACTGCCAGCCACACAACTCACAATGGAGACCTAAGCTCTGCGAGCTGACACTTTAATCTGGCTTGTGTCACAATGACAAAACTGCAAAGCAGCAGCGTGCATCATCAGGGAACCCCACAGAGAGCCGTGGCTGCCTCCCCAAATGGCGCGGCTGAGCACGGCCTCACCAGTCCGGTTAAAAACCGGCTCCAGCACCTCACCACGCTGACAAACCAGTCTCTGGCCTCGTGCCCATTACTGCCCCACCCCCACCTTCATGGAGGAAGATGCTAATTAACCACAGCCAACAGGAAGCCAGGGATAACCAGAGACTAGTCAGTCATTCACAGCCGACCACACCCTAGCACAGACTCCGGACACCTGGGCCCCATCCAAAGCTGCCAGCTGCTGCCCGTGCACCCTGCCCTCAGGGTCTCGGGCGCCCGACCACATGTTGGGGAGACGTGCTCCAGGGAGTCCAAGGCGCCGCCAGCACCAAAGCTGCACAGCGCCAGGGCCATGCCGGAGCTGCCTGCCCGCCCGCACGCGGCGCACTCACCCCGCCGGCCATCAGGAGCTTGTACCGGAACTCGATGGTGGGGTTGTTGAAGGTGAGCTTCTCGCAGCGCAGGTGGTTCACAGGCGGGTTGCCCTCCAGGTTCAGGAACAGGTCATAGGTGAAGCAAACCTTCCTTGGCTCCTCCTTAAACAAAGAAAACAAGGAAGTCGGTTCAGAGGGGCGGGCAGGAGGCTGCAGGGGCAGCCACGGGACAGGCGGACACGCGCCCCACGGCCGGCCCTGCCCCTCCCAGCTTTGCTCAGCTGCTGCTTCTCTCCCCTTGGACCCTCACCTGCTTCTCTGTGCCTGTCTCCTCATCCATCTGGTCACCCAAAGAAATAAACTTCCTATTTGCAGAGAACCCGGCAAAGCAGGCTCCACAAGGGAAATGAAGATCACTGAGAACCATGTTCTCAGACGTTAGTGAAGTGGCCCCGCCAGCGATGTGTGCAGCCCCATGCAAACGTTTCCCCAAACCCCTGCCCCGCAATCCTCATGGTTCTCGGCCAACAGAAGGCACGCAGCTGCTTTCCGTGACAATGCTGAGAGCTGACCCCAGGGTCAGAGGCCTCAACCCCCAGGGAAATTTCTCCAAAGACATACAAGTGGCCAATAAGTACACAAAAAGATGCCACTAGGGAAATACAAATCAAAACCACAAAATACTGCCTCACACCCACTAGGATGTCAATTATTTTAAAAAAGGAAAATAACAAGCATTAGCAAGGATGGGGAGAAACCAGAATCCTTGTGCACTGCCAGCAGGACTGTAAAACGGCGGCCCCTCTGGAAGACTGCATGAGAATTTCTCAAAATGTTACAGAGTAACTATGTGACCCATATGTCTCCCCGGACACAGACCCAAGAGAAATGAAAATACACAGTCACGTAAAACCTTGCACACCTATGTCCACAGCAGCATTATTCACAACAGTCAGACAGTGGAAACAACCCAAGTGTCCTCCAACAGGTGAGTGGATACACATCCTGGTCCACTGTGGTCCATCCACGCAAAAGAGTGTTACCAGTCATAAAAAGGAGTGTCACTGACACACGTCACAACACAGATGACCTTCAAAGCACGATGCTCAGTGAGAGAAGCCAGCTACAAAGGCCACAGAGTGTGTGACTCCATTTACATGAAGCGTCCAGAACAGGCACACCCACAGAGACAGAGCGGCTTCGTGGCTGGCAGGGGCTGGGAGGGGAATATGGAAACTGACTGCTAATGTGGACGAGGTCTGTTTCTGGAATGATGAGAATGTTCTGAACTAGAAAACTGAGACGACTGCACAACACTCTGAATGTGAACACACTAAAACCCACCAAAGCCATGTGCTTTAAAGGGGTGAACTTTCTGATATGTGAGTTATACCCCAATTTTTAAAAATGCCATCCACAGGAGAGAAAAGGCTAGGAGACAAGAGCCAGTGGAGGTTTCCCAGCAGTTCAGAGGAGACAGGTCGGCCAGGGTGGGGAGGTGGGCAGGGCTGCCGAGCCCTCACGCTGGCATTTCCCGGGCTCCCTTCTCTTCCCCCTTCCTCCCCGCACCCTGGCTGCGCCTGCCTTCCTCCTGCTGCAGCAAAGCTGGGGCCCCAGCCAGCCACATGCCCGCTTCTGAACAAAGGGGACAGGAGCGAGGTCCTGCAGCTGCACTTGGATGACTCTGGCCCCTCGTTCAGGGCACAAAGGTAGAAGGTGAGCCTGCCGTATGGAAGAGCTGCAGGCCCTGCCCTCCTCGGAGAAGACAAGTTGGCAGGCCTTCCGAGCCACTGCCGGCTGGTGAGGCGACACCGGCCTGGCCCCTCCCCCAGTGGCCCCTGGCCTCAGGAAGACGGGTTTCTACCCCAGCCCACCTACACTGGACTTGGAAATCGGTCCCCTTGTCCGATTGTGGACTTGTGTCCTAGTCTGGGGTGATGAGATAGGTGAGGTCAGCCCAGGGAGAGCTTTCCTTCCCAAGTCAAAAATCAAAAACAAAAGTGTGAGGAGAAAGTCTCAGTCTTCCTGCCTTACTGAGACGCGACGCCTGTTGGCCAGCATCAACCCTGGGACAAGCGCAGGGGAAGCCCAACACCTTAGGAGGGCAGCTCTGGCTCCACGAGCCGCTGCCCCAAGGCCACAAGCCAGCTGCCTCCCACTTCCAGTGAAGGAAGAGAAGGCGACTCCCGTGGTAAGTCACACCCCTAAATGCGGCCAGCGCCCCGCCCCGTGCCCGCCCGCATGTGTGGAGGCACTCGTCACAGTGGGCGTGTGTCCCCTTGGAGGTAGGGGCTGTGGGTATCCTGTCCTGTGCTCCGGCAGGTGCTGGTCTAGGGAGGCGCTCCGTATTTGCCACGAGAATGAAATGGGAGGACTGAGAAGGGCCTGACCCAACAGCGAGGATGGGAGGGGGCCAGTAAGGCCCCCTGGAGGCTGTGACAGGCTTGGAGAACAGCGGTTAAGAGTCGCTGAAGCCAAGCCAGGAAGGGTGAGGGGGTGAGGAGAAGTGGCACAGGCCACAGCGTCCTCTCCAGGTACCCCGAGAGTCTACGGGGCTGCAGCTGGAAGGGGAGGGTGGACAGCGGTGGCGGCAGGGGACCCAGAGAGAAGAGCCTTGGCTGCCACTGGGAGGGGCGGCTGAGGCTCAGCAAGAGCAAGCCCAGATCTGAATCCCAGGAAACGAACACCCTCTGGCTGGCGGCAAGTTCAGACTGGGAGCAGGGCTTGAAACTGGCAAATAGAGGGGGTAGAGGGATGGAGCACTTGCCCTGCTTCCCAGTAGGTAAGCACACAGAAGATAAGAGGGGTGAATGGCACAAATGGATTCCGGCCAGTATGTGAAGAAGGAATGAGGTGATCCCGATACGTGACTCCTGACAGGTCGGTAATCGAGGCGCTGTCTGTGAACTCTGCCAGCATCACGAGCACAGACATCAGAGACCCACGTGCCACCTTCCCAGCAAGATCTCACCTCCGGATGCAAGTTCAAATGCTGAGGGAAGACACCAGTGGAGGACTGGGCTCCATACAGACACCACAGGGACAAAAGAGGCAACAAGCCAGATGGCACCAAACAACATCTGGCCATGGGACACACGGCACAGCTTCTTCAACAGATAAATTGCAAAGAAAAGAAAGAGACTGCAGATGGAAAATCTATACATTCAAAGAGACTTAAGAGACAAACCCCTGAATCACACTGTACGGGTCTAATCTAGACCCTGATTCAGACAGAAGATCCTTAAACACCTGCCTGGAGATCAAGGAACTATTAATTTGTAGGCGTGACACTAGAACTGTTATACTATTAAAAAGGAATTCTTATTTTTTAAAGACACATTCTGAGACACTGACACATGAAACAATATCTGGGATTTGCTCCAGCATGACCCCCACGGAGGAGCACTGTGCTTGAGACGGGCTAAGCATGGCTGGATGTGTCAATGGCGGGAACTGGGTGATGGCTACCAGGGGCTTGTTCCATCACCCCACCCACTCCTGCAGGTGCTTCAGACCTTCCCCATCACCTTCTGAGTGGACACAGGGCGGCGAGGCTGCAGGCTAGGAGGAGGTGCTCAGCTAAGGGCATGTCTCAGCGGGGGCCAGCTGGCAGGCAGCTGGACACCCAGTGACCCCCTTGTAGAGCACAGGGTTCAGCTGGGCCTGGGGCCCTCTCAGTGGACAGGGCCTGCCCTCCTGAGCCTCGTCCTCCTCGCCTGCAATGACATGGGGAAGGTGAGATAACACCACCACAGTGCTCAGCTTGGAGCCATCAGGAAACGGGGACTGCTGTCTTCACCAGGAAGAGATCAAGGCGAGGCCTGAGGGCACGTAGAGACGCAGGACCACAGCCACAGGACTCCCCGGGCAAGGATGGGGGCTCACAGGGATGTTCCTCAGCTCCACCCACTGCCAAACTCGGGTGCCAGAGCTCAGAACCAGACCCTCCTCCTGTCTCCACCCTCTCTGGGTGACCCCTACACACAGAATGGTGGTGTAGCGCCAAGTCAGTTCCAGCCACTCCCCCTGCCTGCTCTCCACCCCACCCCTGCCCCACTCCTCAGCCAGCCCCTCCTCATCTCCTCCAGACCCTTCACCACCCCAAGCCACCCAGCTGCTTCAACCCATGGAGTTTAAACTGGCTCATGGCTCATCCCCAACCCACTCCTTTAAAATCCACCAAAGGCTTCCCTCCAAGAGCCTTATCTACCATTATCCCCCATCACAGCACTGGTCACCATCCGCAGGACAGATGTCTGTTTTCTGTCCACCTACTCCACTGACAAAGGGATGCCTTTTGTTCCTATGGGGCAGCACTGAGCAAACACCCATGTCTGCTGAATGCACCTACATATCTGTCTGTCCTGACATCAGAACAGAAACGTGATGGCTGCCTGCCATGTGTTCACAGCCAAGGAAGGGTCTCTACGCTCAGGAAGCCTTCAGGGCAGCAGTGCTAATGACATGACACCGACTGGACTTTACCAGAACTCTGGGGCATCACCGCCACCAGGCACTTTTCCAAGCACCTAATATGAGTGCTTCATGGCCCGAACCATGGGCGCTCTTACTGCCCCCATTTCACAGATGAAGAAACTGAAACAGAAGCAGGTAACATGCCCGGTGCCACAAGGCTGGCCAGCAGTGAGCCAGGACTCACTCCAGGCAGGTGGTGTTCTCTGGAACCCCTGGCTCTTGGAGCGGTTTCTCACACTTACAAAAACGAAACCGGGCAATGCACTGGCCCGGGTGCACTGCGTGGTCTTCACGAAGAACTCGGTGGAGTTACATGTACTGACGCGGGACGGTCCACAGACATTTAGTTGAAAATTGTGTCTCTCTCTCTTCCCCTCCCTCCCTCCCTCTCTCACACACATACACACAGAAAAAAATGTGGTTTCTGGAAGGTTATTTATAGTGGTTACTTCAAGGAAGTAGGCTGGAGCGAGGACCTCAATTCCCTGCAACATATATCACCTGTGTAGTCAGAAGTAACAAAAAATGTTTTAAAGTGCAACGTGGGCTGAACACTGCAGGCTGTGGGGTCTGAGACCCCACAGATGCCGAAGCAGCTCTGCCGCCATCGTGCTCTGTGACCCCGGGCCTGTCACCCTGCCCCTCTGGGCCTCAGTGAGAGGAGGAAACAAAACCCCAGGGTGCTG